TTTAGCAATAGTAGATTCAGGGGCAGATCTCAACTGCCTAAATGAATGACTAGTTCCTACAAATATTTTGATAAAACAACCCAAATCTTGAATACTACGGATGGAAGCAGATTGTTTATAAAATATAAACCCTCAAATGCGAAAATCTGCAATGAAAGCCATTGCTTCTCAACTACTTTCATAATGGTCAAAGGACTCAGTCAAGCTGTAATCCTTGGAGTACCTTTTCTCACCCTTTTATATCCAATGAAAATTACTCAATCAGGAATTGAAACAAGTGTTCATGATACTCATATTAAATTCGATTTCATTGATAAACCAAAAATCAAAGAGATCAATACAGTTAAAAATCATATCAAACACAAAGAGGATTTTCTAGGATCATTACAACTTGAAATCAAACATAAAGTTGTTACTGAAAAACTCTAAACGAAAGATATGATACAATAACTAAAAAGTGTTATTAAACAAGAAATATGTCATGAATTACCAACTGCTTTCTGGAACAGAAAACAGCATATTGTTGGATTACCATATGAAAATGAAACAAAAATCCCAACAAAAACTCGTCTTATTCAAATGAATACTGAATTACTTCAAACATGTCATATGGAAATCAAAGATTTCCTTCAAAAGAAACTTATCCGTCCAAGCCTATCTCCATGGAGCTGTTCTGCTTTTTATGTCAATAAAAACGCTGAACAGGAACGAGGAGTCCCACGATTAGTCATCAATTATAAACCTCTCAATACGGTCTTACAATGGATCGAATATCCTATTCCCAACAATAAATAGACCTTTAAGGCCAGGAGCGCCGCTGAGGTCCAAGAAGACATAAGAGGGAGTCACAGAGGACTGTCCAGATAGCACTCAACCGCAACTTAATAATGGAAAAATTTATTAAGAATCTATCGGATAAAGCAATTAGTTCAACTAGTAGTACTCTAAGAATTAAAAATAAAGAAGAAATTATCATAAATGATATAGAAGCCCAAATTCAAAATTGGAATATACCAAAGGTTCCAATATCTGATGTTTATAAAAAAGGTACTTTTGATCTTAAAATAGGATATGCTATCAAAACAGTAGAACAGACTCTATCTGTTACAAGTAGCCAAGAGGATTTCCAATTATTATCTAATAAAATATTACAAGTCCATTAAACAAAAAATTATAAATATCTCCATATAGGTTTAATACAAATTGCAGTTAAACTTTTAACTCGTTTAGGACTTAATAATTCTATCTTGGTATGTCTACGTGACACTACACATAATAGATTTTCTGACTCATTACTCGGAATGGTTAAATCTAGCATATGTAGTGGACTAATTTATTTTAATTGTTTTCCTAATTATTTTGTATCACTTACAGATCCAAACATCTTAAATGCTTTAAGCCTAAACTTGAAAACTCAAGGATTTGATATGATGTTAGGTTCCTAAAATATAGCCATTGTCTATTGTATTTATTACAAAGTAATGACTACGTTATGTCCTAATGTACTACAAGTAGACACACGAGGACATACTATATTTTTCCAAACCAATATAGAAAAATCCAATACCATCATACCAAAAACAATATCCTGGTCAGACATTATCTTACCAGAATTATGGTTTATTCATAATGAAAACCAACCATCCCAAACATCTATACAAAATATTCCAGATAAAATTATAGAACATACAGATGGAAATATTGAAATCCAATTTACTAATAATCGAACTACTATTCCTACTGCCACAACAAAGTCTATATCTTTTCCTCAATTTTCTCTCAAAATTGAACCGCCAAGGCAATCTGTTACCACACACACCCATAGTCCACATCTAAGGACTCCTTCATCCACAAGTAGTACTTCTCGGAGACTACAAATTGATGGATTAAGAACACCAGATAATATTATTATTCCACAATATAAAAAAGCTCAACAAGAACTTGAAGAATCTGACGTCCTTCAAGTCTTACAACTTGAAGAACAATTCGATAATCAATATATCGAAAATGACTATTTATCTGCTGAAAATACAGATATAAGAAAATGGTATATTGATACGTTTGAACCAAAATTCATATCTTTATTTCATAAAAAATATAACAAATTCTAAAAAGAAAGAAACCAAAGTACTTGTATCTTCACATGGTTAAAAGACATTTTACACCAATACTCTATTCTTATACCAGAATTTCATCTTCAAACTCTTGGAAAACAAACAGTTAGAATAGAGAATTTGTTAACTCCCATACGACAAAATGATCCAAAGAAAATTCTCTTTAAACCTCCTTCTGAAATAAATAAAGACAAATTCTTTATAGGAGATGATAATAAAACTCTCATGGATCAGTTAATACCAAATTATCGAAATTAGAACTCAAAGAACCCAAGAGAACAATTATGGAGACAAGTCCGGGAGTCACTTCAGAAGACAGAGGATAAGCTAAAATTTCCGTCCATGACAATATGGCTCTTCAAGAAGAAGACCCTAAACCTCAAATTAAAAATACTCTGTCAAATATGCAAAAGGCATTCGCAGAACATAGTATTTCTTCAAACAATATTTATCGAATCAATTATAGTAAAAATTGGCAGCCTATAAATGCTAGACCATATTACAAGAGACCAACCCCGGTTGACATACAATTAGAAGAAGATTTAGTTAGTCATACATCCACCTATACTGGTCGAACCATCAGTAATTGGAGTATTGATGGAATTTAAGACCATCAAATATTAGACACTATGCGACATATGACAATGTACGCATCAGCATGTAAAATGGTTGGAAGCCATGACCAAGAAATAACAAAAGCCATAGTATCCGGATTTACTGGTTGGCTGCGAGGATGGTGGGATTTCCATCTCAATGATCAAATCATACTTTTATCAATACTATCAAACATGTTGGTTTAGTTGTTTCTACTAAAAAACTCAATTTCTTCCAAACCAAAATCTGATTTTTAGGACATAATATTAACCAAGGTACATTATCCCCATTGATAGATCAGTTTTATTTGCTGATAAATTCCCTGATAAAATTGTAGACAAAACCGAATTGCAACGATTTTTAGGATGTCTTAATTATATCAATAATTTCTATCAAAATCTTACCA